TTTTTACTATTTCGACTTCACAATGGAAATTATTTATTAAGTAAATAGCTACCAAGGACGAGCAGACCAAGCAAGAGCAATTTTTTAAAATACCCGCCGTCCTTACAAATGGGACAGAGAGCAACTGATTAGAAATTTATATTACTCCGTAACTTACCTTATTAATTTTTGCGTTGAAGGTGTCCTTCATGTTTTTGTTCAATCTGAATCTATCGCTGCTTAGACGTCCGTAACAAACTACAGACAACAGTAGGGCAAACACCAAATGCAATGCAAACTTGAAGAAAAATCTCCACATTTTAACTTCCTTGACTTTCTTTCTCCTGGCAATGGCCACCTTCAGTGGATCAGGAGGAGTATAGAGTTCCGAAAGTGTCTCAGAGAAGTGCAGCTTATCTTCCACTGGGTTTGAGTCCTCAAGTTCTATGCTTGAAATCTCAGCAACCTCGTCACCTTGTACCTCTTCTCTGTCTTCCTCCGGGGGCTTGCGTAACAAAATGGAAAGCAAAGAAGCAACAATGATCACTTTAAGGGGCTGAATAAAAAAGATGTCCTGCACCAAAGAGACAACAACCGATGTGATCCATTTGTTGGACTTTTCAGTTCCCCATATCATGCTGTAAAACATTGTGAAGGCTGCACCCGTCAAGCTCGTTAGTAAGGATAGTGTATACGCTATGTAAATAAAACCATGAGGCAACCAAAATTTCTTTGTCTTAGCCGATGATTTGGGTCCCGTATAACGAAAAATGCTTATGATCAATAGGTTAACCGGCAAGACGACCAAACCACTTTGAATTCCAGTCATTAACTCTATCCAATTAAAATTAATTGGACCAAACGTAACTTGGAGACCTTGTTGTTTTAAACCATACTCGTAGAACATTGCATTAACAAGCATGGAGGAGAATAGAAGTGATATACAGCAAGTTAAGCGCTGAAATCGAGTAAAAGAGCTGTTTGGCGGTCTGGTGTAGACTGAAAACCAAAGGTGACCATCTCCTATGTCTTTGGAGGCTCTTGTGTAGAACAGATTGTGGAATCCTGACAATTGTTTTCGATCAGCCACAAAAAGTACTCTTTCAATTTGTCCATCATCCTTTTCAACAGCCAACCAGCGGTTACACATAAAGAACCATTTCTGACCTGTAGCCACGTGACGGACTACAACCTGATGTAAATTCCATGATGGACTCGGGCCTGAGTTGTCGTGCCATAACCTCACATAGTTTAGTCGACCAAGAACGTGAGGGAGTCTCACCACAAAGGAGCATACACTGCCTCGAGAAAAAGGATTTTTACCACAACTCAGGGGAAGTATTTCAGTCTCTCCCTTTTCGGCGTTGATCATCATGGAAACATTCGCAGTTGTACCAGATGAGCCAAACATTCCTGTGTAAACAGCAATCTCATAGGCATGACTTCCAGGCTTTGTTATCCGCACAGGAATGGACACAGACAGCTACAAAACATAAAGAGAAGTTATATGATAACCTGAATCATACACGCATTTTGATTGGTTCTTAATTACGATCGATTGAAGGACAGAAGTATAGATGACATCACCATTAACAAAATTTTCTTATAAGAAACGATTTGGAAATGCACGAGACAAGAAATATAGGGGATAGAAACCGACGTTTCGGTGCACCTTGCACCATTATAAAGGTTACATAATTAATAATAAAATGGGGTTTGTAAAGAGGCTCTTCACAAGCCGCATTTTATCATTAATTATGTAACCTTGATAATGGCACAAGATGCACCAAAACTTCGGTTTCTATCACTTATATTTCTTGTGTCGTGTATTAACAAAATTTTTCTTTTTTTATCATACAAAACAAATGGAATTTTATGTTGCAGTAGGTCTGTACAGTATCAGTGATCACAGATGACGTCAAAATATGGTAAGAGCATCAGTAATACACTCGACTTAACAAACGTAAACACCAAAGCGTACACTATTGAGTTATGGATGCACGCGGGAGTTTGCTTTGCACGAAAGAAGCATAAGAGTCGCACGAGGCGATAGCCGAGAGCGACTCTAGCCTTTTGAGTGCTTAGCAGACCTCCAAGTACATCCATAACGCAATAGTGTACACTGTGGCGTTTACCATTTGTTTTATAACATAACATTGATACATTGTAGCAAAAGGGTTTTCTTTTTTTTGAAAAACTCTTACGTGACCAGAAAAAACAAGCGCGCGGGGGAAACTAGTCTTTGCATTTGCTCATGTCAGCAGCGTTCACCCATGGGCAAATGGTGGACGCTAAATTGAACAATTAGAGCGCGCGGTTTACTTTGTTTATGTTATAATACTTCTCGTGTGCCACTTTTTGCTCTCAATACTTTTGCACATCATCTATGATCTTTTACTAAGCAGACGCATGGCAACACGGTATATCTTTGCCGAGTAGATCATATGATTTTACGATTACAAATTATCTTACGGGGAACCTAATTATCACAATCTTCAGTTGGTTTATAGCACTGAAATGCAACAAAAAAGGCTCTGAATAGCAAAATTGTAGGGAAAAAACGGAAATAATTTTATCCAGCTGAGCAATTTACAATGACCGAGATAGCAAGAAAATAATGATACCTTTCTAAGACAGGTAATATAAGCTTAAGAAATTCTAAGCTTTTGAAACAGAAACCAACTTATCATATCAATTTAGTTGCAAATTATCTTACCCTTTCTTTATCTCTTTTGTCAGCTTTTCTTTCAAACACCGCAACGATAAAGTACAAGAAGAAAAATACACCAACGGCGACGATTACTCCGATATTTCCAGTATCGCCGAGGCTGGCAAATCCGAGAAATGCCGTGTCAAATTCAATGGCGCTGGGCGGAGGAAAAAGCTCTCCTCCAAATGAGGTCAGGTGGTTGCAGAAACATTGTAGGACTTCGTCAGTCGAATTTGGACCAGGCTGTCAAAAAAGTAAAATATTAAAATCCGGTTAACCCTACAAACCTATGTGGGAAAAATTATATCCAAGCAATATATTTCTTCTATATTACTGATGTCTTAAGGTGAAATACGTTTTAAGAGTTATTTAGTGGTGAAATATATCTAAGCACAAATATTTGAATGAAGAAGAAGTAAAAAGAAGATTGGAACGGATAAAACGAACAAAATGTGTTGCAATCAGCTAATAAACAAACGAGTGCTATTGCAGTTTTGGCTACAAGCAATAGGTTTACCACTAAATTATCCCAAGGTTCATTTCTTTCTAAGTCACTCTGCATTTTGCCCTTAAGTCAAACAATCGATTGACCGCAACCTTTATTGACAGCTATCGCCTACGTGGTAGAGAAATGGTGTTGTCCATAGTTTTTTTTTTTTTTATAGTTTTACCTTGCACCCCTTTGTGCTCCATTCCTCTTTCAATTCATCCCAAAAAAGGCACGTGTAAAACCTAACATCAAATGTATACAAGGTCGAAACATTTGCATCAAGAATGGGTATTTCAATGAGCTCCATTTTTGCGCCAACTTTAGGTGGGGGAGGCTTTTCGTCGACTTCAATGCAAAGTCTTCTAGCCTTAACATCTGATTCTGGGTCTCTTTCTGTCAGCGAAAGTGACCTTCCTTTGCGGCGGCGATCGTCGTCGTCGTCGTCCTTTTCATCGTCATTGTCATCGTTATCATAATCATTATGAATTCCCATCTCCTCCTCCCAAAGCCATAGTCTAAACGATACAATACGTTCGCATTTTTTGCCATTATACCACCTGCACTTTTTTAGTTTTAATGTTCTGTTATAGTGGTTGTTCATCTCCTCGACAACGGATTCTTCGAGAAACTTTTCCACCTCTTTCCTTTTTGTCATATTTAGTACCACGTGCCACCAGTGTTGATCTGTGTGATTACCAGAATTGTCAAAATTATTATCCATGTCATCCTCTGCATTTTTTGTATGGTTGACGAAGGGAGGTATATACGGTTTTACACCAACATACCACTTGCCTAATTTTGCGAATGAAGTATTGAAGAAAACTTTCAACGGATCTTCAAGACACCTTCCGTAAGTATCATAAAACAGTTTACGAGGCGCGAAAAGGATCTCCTGGCACTGTCGGTAACGTTGTAAATCCAGTGCATAGCAAGTTAAAACGTTAACCAAGTTCTTACATAGTGTATCATTCGGGCACATTGTAAAGCTTGTGAAATTTCTACACGTCGCAGGATTTTCCTCGAGAGTCTTGTTAAACAGGAAGTAGAGATTAGGAATCTCATCGCACGAGCAGTTGGAGTAAGTCAGGTTTTCATATTTGCACACATCAGGACATTTGAACGCGTCTTCGCCGTTTTCAGACGGCGCGGGCGTGGGAACGGAATCATTTTTAGGACCGCAGGTTTTGGGTTGGCCAGGTTTGGTAAAGTTTGCATCATGATAGGTAGATGATACATTTACCTTACCTAAGCATCGCATAAACCTAGATAAAAGGGTGCAATTTTCATCCTCTGGTGGTAAACATGAGGTAAGATCTGGCAAGATAATTTTATCGTCAAAATGAGTTTTGTTTGGTCTTTTTCGGTGCCTCAAAAATACCTCCAAGTGTGACTCGTTGAATGGCACTATTCGAAGTGAAAACGCCGTGTCTTTATGTTCTACTCGAAAGGTATGATAAGCCATGGTACCATTTACGGGATTGACAAAGTTGACCGATATGTTTTGACTTTGAATTTGACTTTTCGTGGGGATATTTATCTCAATGTCCGATCCAGAGTTCTCAACTGGTATCAGATTTCCATGTTCATCCAGGAAAGAAAGACTGACCACGCGTGTTCCTGCTTTAAGGGTATCATTTTTTTGCCATATGAAAGGATCCAAATCAGAGAATTGCACCTAGAACAAAATGAAATTTGGAGACACTTAAAATCAGCGTGGGCGGCGTGGCCGAGTGGTTACGGTGCTGGACTTGTAATCCGGTGTCCCAGGTTCAAGTCCTCCACTCTGCCACTCACTGGATTTGTTCTCGGTTTCCCCTAGTTCCAACAACTCCTTGTCTGCGCTCTGTAAATAGCCCACTTCTCTGCCTCCTGCCGGTGGGGATCTTTAAGCATTTAGTTAATCTATATTGTGGCTGAAAAACCCCTTAGGGGTAGTTTCATTCTACGCACCTATTATTATTTTATTATTATCAGCATGGCTGAGTATGATCTATGAGCCTTTTTTTTAAATCATATCGAGCAGCAAAGAGAACGTCGCCAAATATTATCAAAGGAGTAAGTAATGAGGGTGACACTGTGTAACTGTTAAAGCCTCGTGATAATAGCCCGTTGGGCAGGCGACCTAAAAATCAACCAGTCAATTGCAAGTAACGGTCCACCAATTCTCGAATAAAAAGTTACAATGAAGGACTTTCATCTTCAACAGAAACTGGTGCACACTAGATAGGTACGTGTAGATAAGCATCAGTGCGCGGCCAGGAGGACTAGACTCTAGTGAGGGGTACCTGCGATAAACTACATCTCTTCTAAGACGAAGCACAAAACTTGTAAGATGACTTAACCTTTACATCACTTGTTTTTCTTACTTACATTGCGATCAATAATTTTAGAATGTGACCCATTGCCCAACGAGAGGTTTGATGGAAGAGAAAATGAACCCCCTCCGACTTCCAAACTCTGTGGTAGGGCTTCATCAGCATGCTGACGGTACAACTGCATGGTGACACGTGGACTTTGAAAGAAAGTAGGAGTTTCACCGGGAAGCAAACGGTCAAGAAAGACCTTGGCTAGAGTATCAGTCAAGCTCCAGGCTTTCTTGGCCACGTCTCCAAACTGAAAAATTCGAGAAAAAGTTAGGAGGAAATAATTAGAAACTTTCTACTTTAAAGTTTGGTTCATGGTGAGTAGTTTTTCATGACTAAGAAAACGTGAGCTTCTAGTGTTCCCGTTCAATGATGATAAGAGACCTGCATTGTTTACTTTTAAGAGAAGAACTTACGTACTGAACAAAAGTGACTTTTAAGCTCCGAAGCACTAACATGGTTATGATCCATTACCACTTTAAGAAAAAGTCGCTCACAACAAGCGCACAATTAAAAGCTATTTTTCATTTGTGTTTAGCGGATGTATACTTCTAATAAAAGCGATCCTCTTTGTACATCGGAGTAAAAGCATATAACCGAAGGCTATATGCTTCTGATCGTAGCTAATGGTATGTGAAATCTTATTCTATTATCCTCTGACCTGTGAAGCATTCACACTCCCGCTGGACAAAACTGCTCCTCCTAACAAGCTCCCTGCCACCAATATGATTTGTTTGCCAGCATTTTCGACTGCATCTCTAGACTCCGTGTTGTTTTTTTCCACCGACAAGACGGACACCATGTTCTCACAAGCTCCTAGGGCTTGGAGCTGAAGAGAACGATTTTTAGTTGGCTTTAACGTTCGTATATCTCAATAATGTTTAATTCTCATCATACTAAGCAGCAAAGCAGGATTCGCTTAAAAGGGAAACCAACACTTCTAAGAAAAGCGGTAACTGAAGTTAGAAGTTTGGCTGTAAGAAGTTAAGATTTCATTGAAGCATGAAAGAGTTGGATTAGTTAGTTACCAAAGGAGATTTCAAGATCATGTAATGAAATAAATTCAAAGAGGAATGCACGAATGAATATGGTAAAGCATAGTCGAGTTACGCAAGAGACCGCAATTTCTATCGGTTTACCGGCGCAATAAACCACTTGGGGTGTTAGAAGAACACAAGAAAAGTTCGTAAACCACGAACCGGAGGCGAGTAATTTTCAAACTGTTCGAGTACTGTGACCAAAGACGAGAGACCAGTTATCACACACGACACTACTCGTGCGATAAACACCGTGACGCCGTTTTGGACAGGTCCCCAATTTAACAAGGTACTCTGTGCTGATCGAAGAGTCGGCCGGAGGCTAGTATGTACTATTCCTTGCCAGCAGTGACCAAAGTAAGCTAATTTTGATTTCAATTAACCCATGATACCATCCTCTTGCTGATAAGCCCCCCTATTCTCGCCACATGTTTGTTGAATGATGTTATGTGATAATCACTTCATGGAGACAAAAGCTCAGCTTACCCCTGATGAGGGAGAAATGCCCCCTTCCTCCTTTGTAGCCTCGACCAACACACTCGCTATCTGATTCGCATTTGAAGTGTCATTTATTGTTAACTTCGTTATACTATTGATGACGTTCTCACGAACCTGTCAATGAAAACAGAAATGCCACCAAAATATGATAAAGGTAAGGGACTATATTGCTAAAGAAAGAAATTGACGTAAAGTATTCATAAATAAATAAGGTAAATAACATTTTGACCTGTAGATGAAATAAAGTAACAAAATGATCCCATTAGTTGAACGGCAACATGATCACATAATTCCATTTTACAGAAGGCACGTAAAAAATAACATGCATTGAGCCCTGTGGTTCCCAGGTATTGGTAGGGTGCTAGTACCAACAGGGCCACCGCGAACCCAAATGCTGGCTTCGGTTTAAATTGATACTCGAAGCCACATGCAGGCCTAGGTTTAAGTTAGAGCTCCATTTATACTCTTAGATGCAGAGAGGCGTTGTGCGAGTAAAGTGTCTTTCCCGAGAACAAAAGACAGTGGCCCTGTCAGGATTATGCCTCGCATTCCCTGATGCGCAGCTCATGTTTCTCACAGAGAACGAAGTGATCTCTTACCGTGGAACTGTCGGTGGTTGTAGCATTGCTTTGTGCCAGAGAGTTGAAAGCGCTGAGAATACCAATACTCAGCTGTACGGCATTTTGTTCTAGTCCCTTGTTTACGATATCTTCAAGCTCACTGTCTTCGCCTGTTAAGCCTGATGCCTGAGACTCGAATTCCTCTCCTGATGGCGTATATACCTATAAAAATGCGCAAGGCCTGACTCATATCATACAGTATGAATAGCAATAAGTGTTTGGAAACAGATAAAGCTAACTTAAACTTGGTACTTTACTAGGAACCTAAGCTCTGATAACATTGGTGAATCTCAGTAAATGCACATCCAGTCACGAAGCAGTAATAAATTGTTTGTGACTTTATAGCATACTTCTAAAAAGAAGACAAAGATTGAAGGGACATAGAAGGACGATTCCATCTGAGAACAGAAGTCTGAACTGTGACTTCTGGCTTACTTTCATTTCTTGAATTTCTTCTCAACAACATGAGGTAGTTAAAACGTAGAGCAATAACTGGCACACTAAAGTTTCCTTCCCTAATAAAATCAACTATTCTGATAACGTGCTTTCGTTATGCCAAAAATGTATCCCTTTTCATAAATTCTAGCTTAGAAGTGTAAAACGTATGCTTAATTTTCTAACGAGTTTTGAGCATGAAAATAATGAATCATTTTCTCCTTAATTAAAGAACTCCACACGAATGCTCGTTGGCAAGAAGAGGCATCGGACATTTCGGAAATAACTTATTTACCTATTCCATGGTGTGGAACGAGGAACCTCCTTTTATTTTGATACTTACGACAACAGTTAAATTGATTTTAGTGAACGCCAAGAAGGAGTCAATGACTGCCACTTCAAGTTGCAATCGATTACCATCACTTTTATTTCCCACTGGTAGACGTAATGGTATGGAATTATTTGTTTCCGATGCTAAAAATATGTATGTGCCGTCCTCTTTCGGAATGTTCACTTGGTAGGTCAGCGGTAGGTCCGTATCGTACCAATCATTGCACTGTAAATGGAACGTATCCAGGGCTGCCTTTCCTTCACTCTTATCGATTTTACACGTCCCCAGTTTGGGAGGGCTGTTTGTATGGAAGTCGTAGAAGGAATATCCTTCCCCCCTGTAATAAGTCACAGTTCGAAATCTTATCTGGTAGAACATCTCCTTTTGGAGAAAGTTTTCCTTCAGAACAATCGCTCTACCAGTGGATGAGGTTATCAATGCCTGATAGAATCCGGCTGTTTCCTTCCATCCTCCTACGTCAGTTAACATACAAGCAAAGACTAATTATCCATCAGAGGACCACCGAAATTAAAGAGTCGCACCCACCAGATTTTTACCTCCTCCTGGGTTTGCACTTCTTAATACCAAATATGTATTCCTCGTTAGAGGCATATATAAGCCCAAAAATTGTATTGATTTGCGACTGTCAAAGGTGATCAAACCATATTAACTTTTCCCAGAAATCCTAATGGTCTGTGAAGCAGAAAAGTGATGATAGAATTAAAGAAAAATATAGGAAGGGTGGTGGGGGGGTCATGTTGACGGTAAAAAAAATAAACCTTTTTGACGGCTGACGGTTACATTAAGATCATTTGACGGTTGACGGTTAATCTTTTGGAATGTCGTTTAGAAAACGAACTAAACGCGCGAATTTAGCCGTAATTTTTCCATAATGACGCTTTTGTAAAGAACTGCTAATTCATAACACCTTCGTAAATGACTAACGTTTTACGACACCGGAAATGTTTCTACACCGGAAGTTAGTTCTGCCTCTAACCCGTTTTACTCGCGACTAGAAAACAAAAGACTTGCGTAAATGTATTTTTGTGATATATCAAAACTTTTGCTTATAAACGACGGAACTTTACCCCAATTAAGGCAATTGTTTAATTCTTAGTTGAGGATATCTGAGACATTCGACGACTAATATTGGCTTGCTTATTTGACGGTTGACGGTAAAAATACTGCGTTTTTGACAGTTGACGGTTAATATTTCGGCCATTTGACGGTTGATCCTCATTGAGACCCTTTATTAGTCTATTCGATTGAAAACCAGCAACCCCTTCTTCTTAAAATTCACAACCAACTAGGTACTACTTACAAGACGGATGCACAATGATAACTTACCTCCGCCATCCTTTTCTTTTTCATACATAAACCATTTGTGTGTCAGACTTTGACTGCACTTGCTTGACAGTCCCACGCAAACTGCATTCAATTCAAGTCGCAAGTTAATGACTGCATTTCGCTCGCAATTCGCGGACGTACAGCTGAGATACAAAAGAAAATGGACAAAGCAGGTATGTTAGATAGGTATAGATAAAGAATTACACCGTGGATGTATTCGTTCAAATTCGTTCAATTCGTTCAAATTTCAGGAGGCACCAGGGGAACAACTGAGACCGGTCACTCGTCAGTTTCCTCCGCAAAATTTCAAAGGATAACATAAGAAACGACCACTGACTCTTAAGGTAAGCGAAGGAGAATTAATTGTGTAAAAAGGTAACAAAATAAAAAAAAGGAAGCCTCGAAAGATTTTTAAAATCAAGCTTATTCAAGTGTAGGTATCCTGTTGACTTACCATTCTCTTTTGAGCTTTACCAAACAAGTTACGGGGCGGGGTGGGGTGGGGGGGATGTATGCCCTTAAATCGCAATGAAGTTACTGGTTTGTGTGGTTGTTTGTAACTTGCGGGAGACAACTTGGTTCGGACAGCCTGAAACCAGGGAACCTAGTTATGCCTGGTCATTACAACATTCATATGAGTAGACGTTTGACCCTGTGTCAGCTATTGATTGCAAAACGTCATATTTAGTTTTACCCTAACTGCGCGGTACTGGGTTAGACATGCATATTATGGTCTGGACCACGTGCTTGCAAGTTTGTTGTTTGCAATTCGTTTTGTCACGTTTCCATCAGGCCTACAAATCTCGTAAGTAGTATTTCGTTTCGTTTTGTTTCGTTTACTTTCCTTTATTCAAATCTTGTTATTTTCCTTTTTTTTAGTCAGAACCAGATCATACGGGTCAGATTATACACATTAAACAGATTGTACAGATCGAGTCGGAAAATTATTTTCATTAGCGCTGCTGTGCATAATTCTTTGTAAACAAACCGCGTACCTGATATTAAATGGAGGAGGGGCCTCTGCCACGGCTACTTTCTGCGTGTAATAATCAAACCGTTGACGTTTCTCCACTCTGAGGATTATGTAATATGTGTGTCCTCGCACCATCAAACTGTTGTCGAATGTTATTGTAAAAGAAGTATCGTTGAATGGCAATCTTCCGGGTCCTTTATTAAAGCAGCCTCCAGATCCAGTGGAGGCTGACGAAGTACCGTCAGGATACACCACAGGAAGAGAACTGGGGTCATCAATCTCAGGACTCTCACCTGGTTTATAGCAGATCCAAGTGAAATTCATTCCAGTGTAGTTTCCTAATTGAGAAAATGGTACATTGAGTAAGCACCGTTCAGTTCTTTTGCACTGAAGATTTGCAGTACACGCCTAGTATTTCTGATTTGGTATCAGAAGGCAGTTCATATGATCTTTTAGAGCTTGAGGTATCAAACCGTCTCCAGGTTCCCCCCGGCCTCTGCCTCACCTGGTGTGAGACGTAATGCTATGGACCCGGCAGCGGCTCACCCTCATAAAGTGGGCTCCAACCGAAGGGGGAGGAGCTTTTTCCAACGGGGAAGAATATCAAGAGCGGAGGTTTTT